TATGTACACATCAAAATGACTTGATTTGGAATGGCATACATCTGAAAACCGAGGGTTTAACTCTTCAAGTTGAGAGGTTTTGGGGAAGCAGAAATCTGAAAAAGTTTGGGTTTCAATGCTTAAGAGGAACAAGATTAGGACAGGTTTCTGCCCAATTGCTTTGATGACAGAGACCCAGGCCCTAGCGGCGCTGCTCATACCAAATTCTAAAAGGCCATGCATATAAAGTTGTCATAGAAGAACTGGGTCCTTTTACAGACCAATTTTTTTTTTTAAATCATTAAATCGCCAAAAAAAAAAATTGCAGGGACCCCTGCAGACAGGTTGATGTTATTCCATTTTTGTAAAATAATTTTAAATTATGTGGATATAATTTTTTTAGGAATACATACATGCTATATACTGATTTTTTGCATATATCATAAAGCAAAAAGTTCTTAAGGTTTAAGCAAACTTTTACCAAGGTGTAGACTTTTATTCTATATATGTAACTGAACTCGTTTTGTTTTTATTTAGAAAAGCACTACTAGTTAAAATGAATTTAAATCCCATACAATCAAATGGCTTCTGAGGTGATTTCTGCTTTCCAATGAGGAAATGTGTCACACAGCAATACGCTGACTTGCCCAATATCACACAGCTTGTTAGTGATGGAACAGAGTGCCTAGGAGAGAGACCTGAAGTTGTGGATGATGAAAAGGCAAAGGGCTCTAAGGTTTCCACCCAAATAAAGAAAAGCTAGGATGAAAAATCCAATCATCAGAAGGGCAATCTTCTGAGTAGATACCCACTTCTCTTCTTGTAAGCATCCTGTGTATATCTCCCACAACTCCCAACTGTTTTATAGTGTAATCCTTGAACTGAATTCTGAGAACAAGAATCTTATTCATTTCCCTTTCCCCCAGTGCCCGACAGCACCAACAGGTCATCACAAAATACAGGCTAAAAAACTGAACAGATGAGTACATTCACATGCAGAACTGAACAAAGTAGCAAAATTGGTAATTTCTTCAGGGAGCTTCCCCTTCAAGGACAATTCTTAAGGAATTTTTTTTTTTTTGCACTCATGAGCGGTGCCTATGGCCAGCAGGTGGGGCCAGAGTAATAGATTTCCAAACTTGAGCCAGCCACACACGTTTAAGCATTACTGAAAAGGTAGATGAAAGCAGTAAGCCGTACATGACCCAAATGACATTTTTGCCCCCTAGCAGAACAGTGCTTAATCCCATTCCCCATCCCTCAGGTGACCTAGCTCACTAGTGAAGGTAAGGGGTTTGGCACTGGAGAGGTTTTCGTGCAGATGCAAAAGCAATGGTAGACACCACCTTGAACCATCGGTTTCTCACGTAAAATAGCCGCCTGATCAGGGCAGAGAAAAGCATACAAATACGAGGATATTACGCAGAGCAGCCCCGCAGTCCGCAATAGGTTAGAGTTGGCAGGGTCGCAGGAGTATGGAGAGAATCAGGTCAACAGGAGAGGTTTTGCCCTCCAGCGGGTTCGAAGCCGCAGCCCACCACGTGGTGGCTGCCAGCACTCCGCATGAGCTGATCCCTGCTCAGCGGTGCACTGGCCATGGGGGCATGGGAAGAGCCGCTCTATGCTCCCCTGCAGGCGAACTACAGGGCCAGCCCTGGAAACCTGGAAGCAGAGCCCTACAGATTTGTGGGACCTTCTCCAATCCCCATAACCCTCACTGTGGATGGCTTAACCCACAACCATTATCAGCTTCCCACGTGCAAACCCAGCAGCTTAATAGTACAGATCCAAAGAAAGGCTTCTCAGGGGTAAGCAGCTTCACCAGTTGCCCAGAAACCACTAGCAGTGAGTGATAGCCCTAAGAAAGTGGCACACTCCTCAATGTAAAAAAATAAATTGTAAAATGACTATCAGATCTAAATCCTAGGAGCACTTTCACTCTCATTTTTGGAACAAAGGGTCTTATATTCAGACAGATCACATTCCAAATATGTCATTTTTCAAATAAAGGTCAAAGTGACAATACTCAAGCACTATATATTAGTTGCATAATGAGAAACTGAAAACTTCTGATACATATGACCATTTATTTTCTCACGGGTAGAAAAAGCTCTGAACCCCTAAAATAGTCTAGGCGGGGTAGAAACCAGGGTTTCCACACCTTGGAGTCTCTATTTACTAGACTACAGGTAGGAATTATGGAAGGGTGCAAGCCAACCCATTCATTGGGCCTCACTCTCTGTGAAGTATTATGCCAAGTGAAAGCCCTCTCCATAACTCCAGAAGCTTCATATATATAGCACTATAAAAGGGGAGGAAGAAATGGTTAGATGTTTTGATTAGGCTAATTAATCCAGCTATATCAGTAATAAAAACGCCACTTTAATAATCCTGTAACTTAAAGAATTGCTTTAAAGAAAATCAAGGGATGGTTTCTAAATATTCTCCAGTAAAAGGAAACTGTGTTCCTTGGAGAAATGAGGCAAGGGCAGGGAAAATGCACAACTATCCAGGAACATATTGTAGTATCAGAAAGAAAGAAAGGTCCAAAAAACATTGGGAGCAGTCAAAATAGCCATCTTGAAGGAGCCCACAACAGCCAAAGCTAGGACAATTTGAGCAAAAAAATATTATAGCACTGACCCATGAAATAAAATATTCGAGTCCATATCAATATAATTGAATAAATGAAGAGATGGGATAGCTCCTCCATACAGAATGTAGAACAGACACAATAAATTAACATTTGGCAAACACCAATTGTTGCAGGCAGTATCAATCCAGAGATGTCAAAATTAGTCAACCAGAGTGATCATTTTAAAGTATAGCCCTCTGTGTGTTAATTACAAAGGGAAAATCAATAAATTTACAGTGGAGAAATCTGGCAGACATCACCTTAACCAGTGATCAAAGTTAACATCAGTAATGAGACAAATGGACATTGTGTATCTTGATATACTGAGAAAGGCACATGACTTGTGCATTCTTGCCAAAAAATAACCTCAGTCTAACAGTGAGAAAATATCAGACAAATCCGAGGGGCATTCTATAAAATAACTGGCTAGTATTCTCCAAAAGTGCCAAATCATAAAAGGTGAAGACTGAAGAATTCACAGACTAGAGACTAAGAAAACTAAAAGCATATGGGATCCTGGACTGGATGTTGAGCCAGAAATAAGACAATCCCTGGACAACCAGCACAATCTGAATAAGATTTGTTGATTAGTTAATAGTACTTACTGTATCAATATTTACTGTTTTTGATAACTGTACTAGTTATATAAAATGTTAACATCTGGAAGAAGCTGAGTGAAGGGTATATAAGAACTCTCCATACTATTTTTGAAAGTCTAAAATTATTCCAGTAAGTTTTCTTAAAAAAATTGAACATGTTGGGGGAAAATAGTCAAACATAACTATGACTAAGTTTGGTGACTATGAGACTTACATTTCGTTCATAGTAAAGGTTTAAAATGCTTTGCACTGATGGTATATGGTAAGATTGTTTCCCCTCATCTTCAACAAAGGAGAAAAGTAACCATGGCTATTCAAAGTATTACATTGGCACATGACAACAGAACAAAGCATTGAGGACAAATTGTCAAAAGTCAACAATTTCCACTGGCAAAGTTGTCATTAGCAAGTAGGAGAACTAGTTTAGTTTCATTTTGTGGTCTTCACCAGACCAACTTTTAGACCAAACTCTTAGAGTGAACATATTCTTAATTTTTTTATACTACAGAAAAAGCCAATATGGTTTTGGGGGGTTTTTGTTCTTGTTGTTTTAAATACAATAATCCAGCAACCTGACCGCTCCCTGACCAAAACACGCAGTGAGAGCTAGGTGAGCAATCTTGTTCAGGGCTCCAAACTCCTTTCAGTTTGCACCCACAGCGATACCAGTATTTCCTATGTGACATGAAAAGACTGGGAAGCATTAGCTTAAACCAAACTAAGATTTCAAATCGCAAAAAAAAATCTTGAATGTTCTTGAATATCCAATGTGAATACAAGGTAGGAAAATCTAGGTAAAATGCTTCTGAATTTGTTCTTCTCAGGATATTTTCCCTTTTGAAGGTGGAGTACTATACAATTAAACTCATGGGGTCCTCTAAAAGTCACAGAAATTTGAGTTAAAATTGAAAACAGTAAATGTTACATTTCTAATTTGGAGACTGGGCACCTTCAAACTGATGAAAACATAAAGAACTTCTCAGTTTAAGGAGAACATATTTTAAAAAGCTTGGGCAATAGGAATAGCTAGGTATATTGTACTGTGCCTCAAGCAGAGAAAAGTTCTCAACTTGAAGTGTCAACTATAATGCTAATTACAAATCAGCATTTATTAACTTTATCGCACTCTGATTTAGTAACCTGGGCTGTGTAGACTAGAATGAATGAGCCACTTGAGGGCAAAACACTTGTCCGACAGTATTAAAACCCATTTTCAGAACCCTTTCTTACAGAAGTTTTCACACATTTAATTCGCCAACACTGGCACACCTTAAGGACTAAAAATCTTTAAGGCAGAGAAGACCCAAAACTAAGAAAATAAACAAGGGTGAATCAAATACCATTACAGTTATATGGTTCATGAAGACCCAAGCCCACTGGAATTTATTCTTTGGACATGTATCCATGTGGAATCCTGGTCTAAAGAAGCCATTTTTCAGATTCAACACTTACATCCTTGATATTGGGCTCTATCTAGTTTGCACACAAGACATCCGGCCAGGTTTCTACACAGCACAGTGACTGGCACCTAATAAGCACTCACAATCAAATATTTATTGAATGATTTAGCAGTGGCTCTACCTTCTCTGGGAAGTATCTAGAAATAAAGCATTATAAATTCTGGCCCACCTTGCTTGCAGGTCATGGTTATCTAAACCTGGGTACAAAAGCAAGCCTGAACTACTTCATCTCAGCAAATTTCCTAAGAATAGTTGTCATCTCACTTCTTAAAACTCCTTATACTCCAAATCTTTTATATACCAGACTCAAATAATATTAATAAATGGTAGTAAAAGTGATGCTCAACAGGATCTCACGTTTATTGAGAAGTGATTAATGGTAAAAAGAAAGGCAACGCCCTTTCCTCATTGGCTGAACAAGAAACTGAAGAAACATTCACTACACGTTTTACAATATTTTTCTCTTCCAAAATGCATTTCTGTAAACAAGTTTTTACCACTGTTCTTAGCTGTGAAATCAAATTAATCCTGACTTAATCAGTATAATGTACAAGAACAGAACATTTCTTAGGACTCCTAGTACTTTACTTTGAGTAACAAAGGGTCAGAGAAAATGAACCACCCTTAAAGACACAACCTTGGGTAACACTGTTAAATTCTCCAAGACAAAAATTCTTCATAAAAATGTTCTTCCAGTTCGGAAGGGAAAAACCAAATCCCCACTTTCTGGGGTGGAGGCCCATACCTTCGAAACTCAGGTGTTCTCCAAGTGCAAATGTCAAAATGGGGGGAGGAAAGGGTTTAAAAATTAGAGAAAACTGTATGCACTTACGGACTTTAAAATCCGAAAAATATAGTAAAAAGACAAAAAAAAAAACACAAAGCATTATGCTCTGAAATCACAACCAAAGCCAAAATAAAAGGGACGTTTTTCACCTAAACTATCTAGAGGGATTTTTTGTTTAGTTTTTTCTTTTTCTTTTTTTTTCATTTTCCAGTTAAGTCCTATGTCTTTTGTGAAATTCCAATACTTAAACTGCAAGTCTGCAATCGTCTCTGAAATCAATGAAATTAAGAAAAAAGTCCTAATTCTCTTGAAGGTCATTTTTTTCCTCCTAGGATATGCAGATGCAACCGTTGCTGCAGTCTGTGCAGAACTGCTTTTTTATTTTCCACGACCTTGACGTTCCTAGGGGTTAAAAAAAAGAATTGAAATGGTTAGTTAAAACTTATCTAAACATGCTTAAGAATTATTCGTAGGTTAACTGAATAGAAATTTAATTATTTGTACTAAACAGAATATTCCCTACCAATAAAAATTAACTTCTTATATTTTAAACCAAAGTAGTAACACTCGAGCTTTCTAATACAAAATTATTTTTGACTTTAAAATTTCTTACATGATGTTTTCTTATAATAGTATTATAGTTAGTTTAGCTTAATACTTGTCGGTCCTCCAAAGCATGGGCCTAATGTAAATAACCCAAACATTCATCTACAGCCTGAAGAAGTGAAGCAAATTATAAAATACTAAACAAACAAAAACACACTAACAGTACTATAGTCTTCCATACTAGTCTCAGACCCTTAGACACATTCATAAGCCTCAATTTTTTTTTTTTTGTAAAGTGAGGATACATTATCTCACAGGGCTGTGGGAGAATTAATGAGCTGACACAGACAAAGCCTTCAGTCCAAAGCAAGAAAATTATCTTTTCCTCCTTGAGCTTAGAATCTACATAGAGATAGATTTTGAAATCTAATTGCAATATCTAAGTTTTCACTGAAATACACCTAAATGCTCATTTCTTATTAGGAATCATTCTTTATAAGCATTTCATAAGTTTACCCTAAACAGCTTTTCACACACTACACCTCATGGATTAGAATTTTCAAAAATGAGTCAATCCACATGCCTTTTAAAAGCCAAAGTCTGAACTGGTTAGGAGCACACACCTGAACTTACACTTGATTCATCAATCTACTTGAGCAGAGTCACTTGCTCCTATTTATGCTGATAACTATGGTTCTGAAGTTAAATATGATTCCTACTAAAAAAGAATAGCAACTGTTACTTATGGACTTCCATGTTCCAGGTTCTGTACATAATAATGATCTTCATAATCAACTCAGAAAGACTATCGTTCCTGCTTTAGAGATTAAAAAAAAAACTAAAGTTCAAAAAAGTTACTTGACCAATTATATCATATTATTACAAATACTTACATAAAAGTCAACAAAGTTAAGTGAGGCTTTGTTCTGAACTGACTACCCTAAAACTAAATTATACCATGGCTATAAAAACAGTATTATTTATTCAGAAAAACCAGTTATCTTTTTGTGATGTCCCTCCCACTTCATATCCCTGGAATTCAGGAACAAACTCACCAACATACCAAGATCTGGGCTATTGTTTTTTAAATAAATCACTTTGAAATTTCAAATTTAATTTAAAAAATAACACACCTTTACATTATCTTTGTACATCAAACTCAATTCAAAAATAAGAAAAAGAAATTCAGTGCAACATTACAGAACTCTCAAAAGTTTTGATGTTCTTGGGCTACAGTACTTTTTTTTTTTTTGCCCTGTCTATATATTCTCCCAAAATTTTGATAATACACTGTTTATAATAAGAAGACTGCAATTTAAAAAGATCTCTAGAGTTGGCCAAAGTCAAATTTTCAACAGCATCTTGCATCTCATACCAATTTTAAATTCATCTACCTGGTTTTGCCTTTTATAGTTTGGATAAACATCATTTATCTAACCTCTCTTCTATTATTGATCAAAATCTACCTTTGGCTTCACAAAATCTGGACTCCCTCGTGTTAAATATCTCATTCCTATGCTTTTATTATTCTTTAAGCCAAGAATATCTGGCCTTCTACCCTTCAAGGTACAGTTCAAAACTCCCTGCAGCTTTCGATGTCCTTCTAAATCTGCATCCACAACTGAAAATTAAATTGCATTGTCTTGTTTCATGTAAAATTAGTCCCAACTCAATCAAATTCTTCTAGAAAGCAGACTAACCTCGCTCACAAACTACTTACAAGTTTAGCAATGGATAACAGACTACAATCAACTTTTAAATAAAATTCTGGTTCTCATCACAATAAAAGAACTGAAACTGTGTTAGGTGATGGGTGTTAATTTATTGTGGTAATCATTTCTCAACATATACATATATCAAATCATTATGTTGTGTACCTAAACTAATGCAATGTTACATGTCAATTATATCTCAATAAAACTGGAAAAATATTCTGCTTATTATCTATTTTAACATTATATAACCCCAGGAATAAAAAAAACTTATGTGCCCCAAATTGTACCAATAAATTAGAAAACAGACTTTACCAAATCCATTTTCCCCTAAAAAACATGCTTATATATAAGTTCATCAGCATGCTTAATAATAAGCCATTTAGTCAGGAGAAATTCAGAACAGCATTGTGTAAGTGAACTTACTACATCGATTCATTTTTTAAACACAAAGTTTGTTCCGCTTTATAATATGCTACCAAGTCTCACAAATACCTATGTTCAGCTTTGCCTCAAACATAAAATCATTCCTGAATCTTAACTATGCAACGATGCCAAGAAGGCAAGTACAACCTGTGTCCTAATGTAAAGTTGTATGCCAGGTTTTTTTAATTATATAAACTACAAACAAACGACATTACCTGCCTTAATTTCCTGCTCAACTTCAAAAAATCGACACATTGACACAATTCAGCAAGCTGACTAGATTGCTCTTCTATTTCTAAATACAGTAGTCCCCACTTATCCGCAGAAGGTAAGTTCCAAGATATCCAGTGGATGCCTGATACCGATAATACCAGACCCTATATATACTATGTATTTTCCTTTTCATTTAAAGGAAGCATTTTATGTCTTCTCTTTGACATATCTGAAGTGCCAGCATTCTATTCTTGTGCTTTCGGGATTTTATTATTAAGAGTGCCTTGAAAACAACCACTGCAATATCACCTCAGCCAATTTTATAACAAAGATAGCTACTAAGTGGGGGAGTGGGGGGGTGGGGGTGTGGGGGTGTGTGGGTGTGTGGGTGTGTGTGTGTGTGTGTTAGCATACACAACATGGATGCACTGGACAAAAGGGATGATTCACATGCCCACCAAGATGGAGCAGGACAGCACAAGATTTCATCACACTACTCAGAAGAGCAGCATGCAATTTGAAACTTATGAATTATTTCTGAAATTCTCCATTTAATATTTTTGGACCATGGCTGACTGCAGATAACTGAAACTGTGGAAAGCAAAACCACGAATAAGGGGGGGCTACTATACAGTTTTTATATATACATAAAAAATAAGCTTATATATTTACAAATTATAATAAAGATAACATCCATCTCAGAGATTATAGACACTTAAGCAATCACAATACTATCTTGAAAAATAAATGAACTTAGAACCAATTAAAAAACTGTTAATTCACAAGATCTTAAATACTAGATTAGATTTTTAAACATTTTCATTTTTAAAAATATAGATTGGAAACAGGAATCAGTAGGATCCTGCTTGAAGGGCCTCCTACTGTGCAAATCTGTGACAAGTTGAGCATTATATAACCTTAATGATAAGTGAATCTATCATAGTTGTATGTGAGATAGACAAGAATTAGCAATGGATACAAAAACTAAAAGGTGAAAATTTGATGAGAAACAAGGCATTTATAGTCTCAAACTACTTTCCTACTTATTACAAGAAAAATAGTAGCTTTATAGTGAATAACCTGGTGAATATTTTAAACAAGTGACCAGAGTTAACATTACTAATGATGGCATAAACAGACATCTTATACCTCCTAATGCGATGTAATGAGGATACGAAGTCACTTCTGTGTAGTATTCCTGCCAGAAAGGCATATTCTGAGTATGCCTAATGAGAAAACCTTAGACAAACTGAGGGACACTCTACAAAAATAAATAGCATATACTCTTCAGAAATGTCACTGTCAAAAAAAAAAAAAAAAAACCAGGGTAAAGTGTGTGTGTGTAACCACTACAGATTAAGAGACTAAATAAAAAGACATGAAAGCTAAAAGATCCTATAGTGGAACCCGGACCACACACACACACACACACACACAAATATTGCTATCAAAGACATTAAGCCTACTGGTAAAATATGAATAAAATCTATAGATTAAATAATAGTATTGTGTCAGTGCTAAATTTCCTGATTTTAATAATTGCATTGTGGTTAAGTGTATGTTCTTAGGAACAGCAAAATATTTAGGAAAAGGGCATAATGTCTGGGAATTACTCTCAAATGGTTCAGGAAAAAATTGCACACAGTTCCAAAAACGATGATAAAGCAACTGTGGCAAAATATTACATTGGTAAATCTGGGTGAAGAGTATATGGGAGTTCTGTGCATTATTCTTGAAATTTCTCTTAAGTTTGAAATTATTTCAAAATAAAGTTAATAAAATGGGGAGGGTGATAATTTTCAGTTAATTCTACAAAAATTGGCTGCATTAAAAAGTTATGTTTAACAATTCATAAAACCTTGAAATGTGTTTATTTTCTCAGACTTACAAAGTCATCAAACACAAAGGTATTTTAGCAAAAAAGAAAATAAAGCTTGCCTAGCAGCTTTTTACAAGTCTTTTAGAATGAGAAAAGATAACCCAGAGGTTATAACACAAGGACCATTATCTTTAACCACTTTTAGACATTAAAACCTTTAGGTTTCTAAGAAAGATTTCTCTTACAGGTTTTCTTTCACTTTTGTGACTATTTCCTATTACCACTGGTAATACTATACTAAATGCCTTCAACATTTATGATGAAAGGGCTTCACTTGTAAGTCAGCTGTTATCAATATTTCTAATCAACCAGTGCTACCCTGGTAATATTTAATAAAGAAAAGGAAACAGGAGAATGACAATGGATATACAGTAAAGAGAAGAGAAACACATAAAAGCAAATCTGGACTTCCAATGGGTCCAAGTCTCAGCCAGAACTGCCCATAAGCACAACATATATTTGTATGTTGGACACTACAGCTTTTATATATGAAGATGCTGACTCATTGTAGCAAGGAAAGTAATGTAGCAAGCTGGTTTTTCCCCCATGGTGTTGTCCTGTGGAACCTGTGTAGTATTTTAACTTAGTTCTCTTGGAGCTGTGTGCAAGGCAGCTACATTGAGATC